ATGTAATCTCTCAATGTTTCACTCGACTTTTGTACGCGGACTTGCAGCTTCGTCAATCCGGCCGGTCGCTTGCAAGTTCCCTCGAACGTCCTAACGAACACTCGGGAAAGATCTTCCCAGGTGTAAATGCTGCTAGGAGCTAACTGATTCAACCACGCCCTGGCCGAACCCTCTAGCATGAGTGGCAAATGCTTCATGGCCACCTCATCATTACAACCACCAATCTGTACTGCCACTCGGTAGTCTTCAAGCCAAGTTTCAGGCTTGGACTCTCCGATGAACTTACTTGCCCCAGTCGCCAACCTGAAGTTGGGGGGTATCACTGCGGCTCTGATGGCTCTGCTAAAGCATTCTGGACCTGAAACATGGACTCGGCTGCTAGTGGGCACATCTCTGTCATGGCCACCTCTATGAGCTCTGTTCCGATCGACCAAACCTTACACGATGATGGATCTCGTGTCAAAGCCTGGTTCTCTGGGGTCGACCGGAGCTCTCCGCCCAACACTGAGCTGGCGCCTGTCATCCTGTTGCCGATGGGCGTTAGACCCACTTCTCGGGGAGGAGTGGGCACTCGACGCCTATCATCACGATCAAATCGGTCATCATAGTGGTCCCACGCGCCTCGGAGGTGACCTTGCGCTGTGAGCCGACTGAACATTATTCGCAGCGACGGATCGACTGTGAATCCTATTGCGCGACTGTGACACAAAATGAATTCTGATCTCCTGCCGCCCGGAGCAAATCCCTGATCTGCATCAAGCCTCTTCCAGCCTCCGACTGAGAGGGCTGAATTGACTCCGCTATACGGGCTGCAGCTGCCAAATTCTGAATCAGGGTTCGATATACCTGAGTTGGTTGCGGAAAGAGCTGACGCCGGCTGGAGTCGGGTACTCGTTGACGCGCACGCTCGTCAAGTGCTCGCTGGAGGTTCTCCAATCGAGTGCGTTCAGCCAAGTTGGCCAAACGCACCTCTTCCAAGGCACGAGCCTCAGGAGTTTCTCCTGCGATGGAAGTATGCAAGGCATCCATGTTCCGGCGGCGAAGATCTTCTCTTTGCTGAGAAGTGAGTGGCTCGGGCTGATATTCTTCGTGGGCCTGAGCGGGGTCGCCTCCATCGTCCATCCCGTCGATGCGGGGGAAATCGGGAGGGCTACGAGGCCCGTTGACCATCAGGACCTCCGCCGCTGGATCACTGCTGTCGCACTCAGATGCAGTCTCTATGGAGCCAGTCGACAGATCGAACAGGCCGTAGAGAGATTTGTCGGGCTCAATTGCCGCGACTTGGGTGGTGGCGATTGCCGAGCCACTGCGTGTCTCACCCATCGCTGAAGCCTCGACCGACCGGAGCGCTTGCGCTGGCGGGAGACAGGGAGGGAGGACGACACAGGAGTCGACCGGTATGGAGTCGACGGCTGCCGCAGCAGGACGCCGCGGACACACGCCCGAAAGTGCGTCGCACCGCGGACGGGGAGCGCGTCGATGTCAAGTGGTGCCTCCTGGAGCCAAGCGGAGTCGTCGGCGATGAAAGCGAGCGCACCGAGACGGATCTCGCGGCCCTTGACCAGAGCTCCGCCAGAAACCATGATGAAGGCAATCGGACAAATTGCATCTTCTCCAAAAAGTCGCTAAGACACCAGCCCCAAGGTGGGCGCCAACTGTCGTGGTCCTAAGTCTGACAGTAGAATGGGGGGTAGGTATGGAGAGGCAAGATCCTAGCTATGGAGTAGTTGTATACGCAAGGGATTTACGAGTTCAGGCCCTTCTCGGAGGAAGTAACAGCCCTACGTCTCGGAGCCCGGAGGCGGTCGACTGGATTGTGTGCGTATGAGTTACAGGGATGCGAACCCTTTACACTGAGGAGGGGGGTGGCTTATATAGAGTTCGCCAGACCCCTCCGGCCCACAGTTATGCAGGGTTTAAAGTACATTAAGACAGGGGGTTACTGGTAACGCCCTTATAAAGTGCCATGAAGACTATTAAAGCTACTTAATGACAGACCGTTGTGTGCTGAGTGACTTTAGGTCTCCTGGCCGTCGAGTGGTTAGCTTCATGGTCGAGTGGCTATCTTCATCGTCGAGTGTCCTTGAGTTTGTCGAGTGAAGTCCCTCTTGGTCGACTAGAAGGTAGCTTCTTCTAAGGATGTCCTTGGGTAGGGTATCCTAGATAAGTCCAATGTCCTACCCTAGGTACATGACTTCATCACCAACCCTTTAGTCCCGGTTGGTGGCATGAACCGGGACTAAAGGGCAGCCTTTGGTTCCGGTTCATGCCACCAATTGGGACAAATGGTGGTGGGCCAGGAGCGAGGACCATTGGTCCCGGTTCGTCCCTCCAACCGGGACCAAAAGGCCCAGACAAATCGGGACCAATGGCCCACGTGGCCCGGCCGGCCCCCGGGGCTCACGAACCGGGTCCAATGCCCCCATTGGTCCCGGTTCTGGGTTGAACCGGGACTAATGGCTGGACCGGCCTGGACCATTGGCCCCTTTTCTACTAGTGAATTGATAAAAACTCTACAAGTTAATCTACATTTTGGTGCTTTATATTTTTTTGTTACGTGATTCATGGGGAGGTTTTTGAGTAGCATGTCAATTGCTTGATTACATGTGACTTTTGACCGACATCTTTTTGAACATTACACCTTTTGTATCCGTGTGAGGTGCATTTCTATACTCCTTTACACCTTTTTGAAGATTTACATCTTTTTATCCATCTTCATCTGTCTCTGCAAAAATAACCATATATACAAATACACCTTTTTGTATTAGGGTTTGACTATGTCACACCTAGATATGAGATAAGAGCTCACATCTAGGTGGCCCTTTGTTTGTTTTTGTCTGTTTTTCCTTTGTTGAGCAACAAATTTTATTTTTTGCTGGTTGTGTCAGTTCAAACATTAAAATCCCAAAAAAAGTGTTGGTGCCAGGGATGGAACGCGAGAGTAACTGCTGGACATCACACCTAGCTAACCACTTTGACACAATTTGACATCATGGATATTATGTCCCTCGGAACCTAATGAAGTCATCAACGATGACAGAGGTGAGACTTTTTTGAAACTTCAAAACATGAGTTTTTTACAAAAAGGTTAGTATTTTTTGAAATGTGAACATTTTTAAATAATTAAAATAATTTCTAAAAACTAGATCATTTTTTGAAAACACAAACCTTTTTTGAATCTATGTATAATTTTTGAGCATGAACATATTTCGTAAACAACATTTTAGAAAAATGGGAACATTTTTTCAACCGGAGACGATCAAATTTCACATCCCCTGTTCCAAGCTTAACAAGGAACTTAGCCGCGGTCGACTAGGCAACAGTCATACCAAACACACACACCTAGGTATGGAGTTGCCGCGCCGGTACGAACCGTAACATCACATGACACAGACACCTTGTAGCTCCCGGTGCTCATATTTATTCCTAGGTTTATTTCAGGATTTTCATCAATGCCGTTCTGTGGAAGGAGATGCTCCCATCGACTACGTGGCGTCTTTAGTGACTTCATAAATCTTAAGATGATATACCGGCTCAGTCTCTCAAAGGTGCTCATAGAGGTAGAGTGTGCATGTGGTGACATGAATGACTGATTCACGCGGAATGCAACTAACAACCACCACAGTGGAAGAGAAACTATATTGTCTCGCAGCTCCAAATCTCAAAAGCTCTATGCAGTTCAGTTACGAGAAATATAATTGGCTAGTTGTTACTTCATCATGGGTGAATTGGCTGAAAAGCGTTTTGTGTAGTAAGTTGTGAAAATTTTCTTGTTAGTTTATCATGGTTCACTCATTGGGAAAAGCTTCCCTCCAGCCGGCGGAAAACTTCAACACGTTATCCACCTCCGCTGAACAACACGTGTCCTCATGATCCATCCACATCTCTCTTCCTAACCTTATCTCTTCTACAACCTCTTCCCTCCACTCATTTCTTCCCTTTATTAATTTGCAACCGCTTGCATAAGCCATCTTCTACAAAGCACGAATGGTGTTTGCTAGCAAAGGTGGACTTCCCAAGTCCAGCCACCGGCCATGATAACGGCGGTGAGCGATGTGCCGGGAGCATTCAAGTTGTGAGCGGCACCACCACGAGCACCACAACCGCGACTAGTGAGGCGTCTGAAACACAGGTGGCTGCCATCTGACGCCAACGGCCAGCTCAGCCGTAGCGCCACCACCTCAAGCTCCTACCGTCGAAACCTTCTCAGTCATGTCAAGGTCCATATTTGCAAAAATAATAATTCTGCAACATGATACTAGTTGCAAAAAAAATCTGGAACACGACCCATGTTGCAAAAGGATTCTATTGATCTTTACATTTTCCACAACAAGACCTTTGTTGCAAAAAAAATCTGCAACAAGACCTATTGCAAAAAATAAAAAAACACATTGCTAAAATTCCTGGAACAAGACCTTTGTTGCGAAAATTCCTGCAACAAGAACTTTGTTGCAAAAATTCCTGCAACAAGACCTTTGTTGCAAGAAATAAAAACGTATAGGATCGGGTGATTGCAACAAGCTTGCAGTTGTAGAGGGTCTTCTACAACACCAATCTTTGCAAAGAAGTGGCTACTTACGCGGATATATCGGACGGCCATTAATGTGTCGATCGAATGGTTAACGAGGCAGCAGATATTTTCTTATTATCCGCCGGCCGACGCGTAGCGTCGCCCTTACTCATTGCTGAAGTTGGTAGGCTAATATTAGCTGGTCTTTGGAGACCAACGGTGAAAAAAAACAGTAGACGGGATCCACCCAGCTCGCTTCATCTGGGCCTGAACTGGGCCGGATGTTCACATCAGCGGCTGTGTGTATCTTCCGTGCCGAGAACCGACTCGAGAACCCACGGCCGCCAGCCGCCGCCCGTCCCACATCCCACCGGCGGCGACGTGGGGTTGCAGCCATCAGCACGCCGCCATCGACTGTGTGATGGTGGAGCCAGAGGGGTGGTGGTAATAAGTGCGATCCCACCCCAGGCGCCACATCGGGCCTGGATCGATGAGCCGCCGTTCCTCGCCAGCGCCGCTGGATGACGGCGACCTCCTGGAGGAGATCCTGCTCCGCCTGCCTCCTAAGCCGTCGTCCCTCCGGCGCGCATCCATCGTCTGCAGGCGCTGGCGTGGCATCCTTGCCGACCGCCGATTCATTCGACGCTTCCGCAAACACCACCGGAAGCCTCCTCTCTTGGGCTACTTCGACAGAAAATATGAAGGGGCCGACTTCACTGCGATGTCAGGGTTCACCGCCAATATGACCTCTATCCCTCGTCTTTGCCACCTCAACCTCGTCGACTGCCGCCACGGTGTTGCCCTTTTTCTTGATCATGCACTCTGCGAGATCCTCGTGTGGAACCCTATCGCCGGCGTCCGGCGCCACGTGGCTTTTCCACCTTGGCTCAACAATCGCTGTGATTGCGTGGTCGAGACTTCCGCAGTGCTCTGCTCCGCCTCCGACGATCTCCCGGTGCATGGTGATTGCCATTTGAGCGCATTTAAACTAGTATTGGTTGGGGAATATCCTAACCAAGCAAAGGCATTCACATGTCTCTATGAATCCAAGTCTGACACATGGAGAAAAGTTATCACGACAGCGGCTCGATATGCGGTTTATGTGAACAGGCCCAACGTCCTAGTTGGAAATACACTTTGCTGGTTACTTTACAGCGCAGACCTCCTTCAGTTTGATTTTGGAAATCAGAAGTTTGTTGTGATTGAGAAGCCAGCAGACGCCTATGCTCATGTCAACTGTTAGTATTTTCAGCCCTTGCGGAGAGAGGATGGCGGCCTTGGCCTGGCTGTTTCTCAAAAAACCTAAGCATGCAACTATGGGCGAGGAAATCCAACTGCGATGACGTTGTGCCGTGGGTGCTAGAGAAAACTATTCAGCTGGACGATCAAATTTCACATCCCTTATTTCCGAGCTTAACAAGATCGGTTATGATGATGGGGTATGACGAGAACACAAATGTGATCTTCCTATGTTTTGAAAATCGTCATCACTTCATGTTCCAGCTTGACTCGATGCAGTTCAGACATATTGGTACGAAAACATGCTGGGATCACAAAATGTGTTATCCATATAGAAATTTCTGTACTGAAGGTAATACGAGTTCTCTGCATTGCATACATAACAAAGTCTTGTCAATTATGCTGCCAAGAGTTATTCATATTACTTCTGATAACTGTTTGAGGTGATATCGTTGGTGTCTTCAAGGTTTAGCTATATATTTAGAAACAATTGGAGTTTCCTGTTTCTTTGTCTTGATGGTGATGATATCGACAATTTAATTTATTTTTTCTATTTATGCTCTGTCTGGAGGGTTATCATATTACTTTAAGTTTTCAACTTACCCACGTACATCGGGCCAAGGTAACAATCAGCCTTAGCTTGCCTAATGTTTCAAGCGTGCTCATTAGTGCAAGCTTCTCAGACTCCCTTGTGTTTTTGCTGAAGATGATAGAGGACATGTCCATGTTAATAGTTTGCCTGAGCATGGTAATCCCTAAGAGTTTTTCAAATGTTGTTATACAATAGAATCAATTTTCCATGTCTGTATGTTGAAGCATATTGTCTCTCTAATGTATTTCAGTTATGATTATTATAGTTTACACTGCCATGTTTGTTACTCCCTCCATTTTTATATACAAGGCCACAAACCCATATTACATGTACCAAGGTAGAAATTAATGCTTAATTAAGCCAATGTTGCAAGCTTGTCTTTTCTCCTCGCTTGACGTGTTAATTAATGTTTATTTTTCTCTTTAACGCACAACAAGACAACCCTCTCACTCCTCGTTGGTTGATTAATATGGTACATGAAAACCAAGCTTCTCCCTCCCACATGCATGCAAGGGGTATTAATGTCCTCGGTTGCTAATACGAGGCAAACTTCATCAATTCTACCTCAATTGATGTTAGTGGCCTTATATAGTTGCAAATTGTAATTTTGATAGTGGCCTTGTATACAAAAATGGAGGGAGTGTCATTCATGTTTTCTGATGTAGTTTTATAACAGTGAAGATATTCCTCTTATATATGGAAAGTGTATACTGCAATCTATATAAATAGCTAAAAAAATGTAGGGTTCTTGGGTGATGTTTGTGTTACCCTCTTATTATGTGTCCAATTTTGTATGTCTTAGTGGGTAAATTGTTAATAGATCTGTTTGGGGTATCAACGCATTTAGTATCTGTACTGCTGGAAGGATTTTATCTTTCTGACATTCGAGGGTCGTGCAACATTTGTTTTTCGTTGCACAGCTAGTTGTCCGATCTTGTCATCGTAAATTATGTCTCTATCTTGATCTTTGTTCTGCTTTTCTTGTAACAGAGGTGCCACAATAAGATGAGGAAGGTTTTGGATCGAAGAAGAGTGAGCCGCCCTACAATTCTGATGTGGCAGCTGGGTATGCGGTAGGAGGAACTGTCTTAGGGAATCCAGTAAAATAGTATGAGCATTTATTAGTTGAGTTTTGAGCCAGTGGCAAGTTTGGTACTGGGATAGGATATTCGACGTAACTGGACCAGATGCTGCTATGATGTACATCTGAACTGTTTGTTAGAGTCCTGGTATCTTATGTTTAACAAGACTATGACAGCAGCGGCAAGGGCTCGAACCCTGTACAGTGACAGCTAGTTTTCAGAGGTGGAGGCGTTTGTGGCTTGGGTTCATGCACGACGGCATTAGGATTATAAATATTTATTTCTTATTTTCTACTCTTTTATCCTTATCTGATCTATTTTTTCGTCCTTTTTTATACACGTAATTAGTCATTGTCTCCAAAATTCATATGAACTCCGTAGAGCGCAGACGTATGGGCCATTTCGATCTACGCAATGAGGTGACATCATTCATTGTCTCATATTCTCCGAACATGTAATTGTCTCAAAAAAGTCAAACTTGGTCAACTTACACTATGTATTCCAAAATCATGTCGGGGCAGCGGGCAACGTCGGTGAGCCAGGGTCTTGAGAGACGCAGATCTAGACGGATGGGGATTCTAGTAATGAGTAGAGATGGCGACCACAGTGAGTGATGGATTGACGCACAACGCAAGTAAGAACCACCATAGTGGAATAGAAACTATAATAATGTCTTGCAGTCCCAAATCTCAAAATAGCTGTGAAATCCAATTGCGAGAAATATAATTAGTCGAAAAGCATTTGGGCATGGTAAACACTAGAAGACTTGGGCGGGCTTTGCTACGTCATTGATGTCACTGGGTTTTCATAATTAAGTTTTTTCCTCCATCTATTTCAAAATATAAGGTGTATTAGTTTTTTTAAAATGTCAAACCTCTTTAAGTTTGACCACATTTTTGTGGAAATATATCAATATGCATAATATCAAATCAGATTTCTGGATTCATCCTGAAATGAATTTTCATATTTCATTTATTTAGTATTTAGTATTGTGGATGTTGATATTTTTGGCTCTGAACTTGGTCAAAGCTAAAAGAATGTAGCTTTTCTATAAACTCATACACCTTATATTTTAAAACAGAGAGAGTATTTGGTTTGTGTTGCGGGGAAGATGATGGAGTATGTGTTTTTTATTCATATGATGCGGTGTTTTGATGGGTCTTTTGTGGTGTGATTTTGTTTGTCTGCTAATTAACATATACTTATGTGGAGAAATTTTCTATGTCGATAGCTGCATGTACTATATTGGTGGTACATTATCACATGTTCACCCTTTTTTTTTCTGATTGGTGAGGGTGCGTGGGATTTGTATGGTTTCATAGGTCGGTTGCTTTCGATTGATTTGAAAATTGTTGGCCCAGTCAAAATCATGAACTAAATTCAATATTGAATTTTTCATTGGAACGAGAGAGCTCCAAAATTATAGAGCATTCTCAATTAAAAGAATTGAGTGAGAGATTGTTGACTCGGTCAACATAAGTGACCCAATTCTAAATTGATGACCTCAATTGAATGAGCAGCCTCTAATCCTAAGGAGCTTAGTGATATAGTGGATTCCTTCATGTTGAGAAAAGTTTTTGTCCAAAATGAAGTTTCATCATTGCTGAAGTTGGTATGCTAACATCAGCTGGTCTTTGGTCAACAACCGTGAATAAATTTGGGAAATGACTCAGATCAGACGGCCGATCCTTCGCGAGCATCTGCCGCCTCTCCTGCGCGACAACATGTGTCTTGCATGGGGCCCGTCCAGCATTATCTATAGGGAGCAGTTCCCTCCATCCTTATCTCACGCACTCCAGCCGTTCAGCTTTTTTCCTTTCTTCCATGGTGTGTTGTATCTCTCTAGACTTCTCTCAATCTTTCACCCAAATCTACTCGCTAAAGGATGCTTTTTTGCAGCCAGTGTGTCTTGTTGCAAGAATCACAGCCCCCCACGGATTGTGAGGGGAAGGGGACGACGAGTGCTTTAGAGTAGTCGCAGCCGCGGGAGGTGTTATTTTGGGGGGTCGACATCTGATGCGGTATGACCGCCGCCGTGATGGTTCAGGGAACCGCGACCACATGCAAGGCCACGTCCATGCTGTCCCTGGCCATCACCGGCCGCGCGAACAAAGATAGTGTTGTCAGCTATGGACGCGGTGTTTTTGAAACATCATCTTTGTTGCAATTTTTTCTGCAATATCGTTTGTGTTGCAAAAGTTCCTTCTTTAATAACATGGCAAAGATATTCTGCAACAAGATCTCTGTTGCAAAAAAATTCTGCAACAAGGCTTGTGTTGCAATAATGGAGGGCGCTGCCGGTTGCAAAAAAGTTCCGCAACAAGGCTTGTGTTACAATAATGCAGGGCGCCAATGATGACTGACGAGCCGGGCGATCTTTTAAAAAGATGCGTGGGCGGACGCGTAGCAGCCCCTAATAAATTCGTCGCAGAAAGGAAGGTAGAAGCAGTACTGGATCAAAAAAGACGGGATCCCCAGCTCGTTTTTCTTTTTTCTTTTTCTTTTTTCAGGCGATCCTCCCAGCTCGTGCATCTGCATGCCTGAACTGGGCCTGTTGTTCTCGCTGGCCCATATCCGCGGCTATGTGTATCTTGCGGACACTGCCGAGACCTCCCGTGCCAAGAACCGACTCGAGAACCCACCGCCTACATACCTCGGCTCTCTCCGGCGGCGTGGCCGACTGTGTCACGGTGGAGCCACAGGGGAGTTGGATCCACGCAAGGCGCAACATCTGGCCTGGATGAGCCGCCGTTCCTCGCCAGCGTGGGCGCCCCCGATGGACGACGAGAATCTCCTGGAGGAGATCCTCTTCCGCCTGCCACCATCCTCCATCCTCCGAGCTTCCCTCGTCTGCAAGAGCTGGCATGGCATCCTCGCCGACCGCCGATTCCTCCAACGCTTCCGCGAGCACCACCAGAAGCCCCCATTGTTGGGCTACTTTGACAGAAAATTTCGAGGGGCCAGCTTCACTCCTATGGCAGGGTTCACCCCCGTGCTGGGCTCCATCCCTCGTCTTGGCCTCCTCAACCTCGTCGACTGCCGCCATGGTGTAGCCCTTTTTCTTGATCATGCACGCCGCGAGATCCTCTTGTGGAACCCCATCGCCGGCGTGCAGCGCCACGTGGCTTTTCCGCCAGGGCTCAACCATGGCACTGATTGCGAGGTCCAGACCGCCGCGGTGCTCTGCTGCGCCTCCGACGGTCTCCCCGTGCACCGTGACTGCCACTTGAGTGCATTTACACTAGTACTGGTTGGGGACTATCCTAAACGAGCAAAGAAATTCACATGTCTCTATGAATCCAAGTCTGGTGTATGGGGACAAGTAATCTC